GAGGCCCTTTTTATGCATAAATACATTAATTTTCTTCAATCTTGTGAACAAGCTCAGAATTAAGAACTAAAATATGTTATAGAATTAAATTATTTAAATTAGATATTTAAATTATACAATATACTTATGTAAGAAAATAAACTAAAATAATAAAGTAATGCAATTAGTTTTTTCTTAACAAGAATTTGATCGAAGCTTTGATATTTAACATTTATAGACAGAAGGTTAAAAAGTTACTAACCATCTTTTTAATTGTTTCCCCTTTTTATTTAGGATTTAAATAAAGAATGTACAAATTGTGATTAATCATGTATAATAATTTGTTTATTTTTAACAGTTTAACATTATGTAAAATGTAACAATATTGTTCTCAGTATTTATTAGCTAATTTTAATAGTTGTTAGCACGCGCGCGATCTTTTTTTAATTTATAAATTAAAAATATTGTAATAAAATATCAATATATAGAATTATGTTTCAAAATACAATATTAATTATTAAATTAATCAGTAACAGATACTGGATTAATAATATTATTAATATTAATTAATATTAATTAAAGCGACGTTTTCGACTTAATCCAAGTGATGTAGGAAGCTACACGGGTATAAACCGAAGGCATGCGATTGACACCGCACGGATAGACTCCCCATGAAACGATACCGACTTGAGTGGGAGTGTTATTTTCTAATTGAACCAATGGACCGCCAGAGTCACCCTATAAGAAAGATATTTAATTAGTAAAGATATTGTGCAAAGAAAATATGTTTTGCATTTAATTATCTAATTTTCTTTGCTGCTGCAACACTAATAACAAATTTAAAAATATAATATACAGATTATATATACAATATATGTGTATTAAATATTATAATATAACTTTACAATATTTCTAGATAGATATTAAAACAAAAAGACAATGCCATTTTGTGGAATAGATTAACAAAGTAACTGATTGAATAGATAATACTGCAGTATTATCCAATATGCCATGGCATATTAATAATGTAAAATTAATAAATATATAATATTCTCTTTATAATTACGCAATTATAATTTTGGCAATTGTTACTCTGATTGTAAGAAGACGTAGAAAGTTAAAATTGGACTTACGGAACATGCTGATATTTCCCCAATAGCATCAGTGCAGATCATGGTATCTGTGACTTTTGGTGTGTCATTTGGTGGGAATTTAGCCTGACAAGATTCACTGTCCAATAAAGGAACAGTAACTTTTTGGAGAACCTTGGGGAGTTTTGGAAGCAATCTCTTGGAGATGGAGCCCCATCCAGAAAGCACAGCATTTCCAGTTCGTACCTCGTTTTCTTTCGGTAAGTTAACAGCGGATACTCTCTCGTTGAGAACGAGAGGAGTTTTCAGTTTCAGAACAGCAATGTCATATGGAGCAACACCTCTGAAAAAAGCAGTACGAGTCAATTCTAAATATCGTAATCACATTCCAAACGCGTTAGGTATGTTATCAGTTGGGAAAATGTGAATTCCGATTGTGAAAGGCTTATCAAAAACAATGATGATATTGTAACATGATATAGATTGTAGATTGTGAACTAATGATTGCATGTGATAAGTCCGTGAGTATATATTTAAAATCTTGGAAAAAAATTAAATTTATATATATTTATCATCTTTCAAAATTGTTTCCAAACAACTTATAATATTTCAGATATAATCTATATTCGTGATATTTTGTAGCATAAATAAATCAATAACATTTTAAATAATATACATAGAAAATAATGTCTTCGTATTACAATATTTTCATGAATAAGTACGTTTAAATCATGTTAAACAATTTTGTAACTCCGTTATAAATCACATGTTTTTATAATTTTCGGAGTCACGTACAATTATTATGAGATAATATTAATTAAATCTTTGTATTATAGTTTTTTAAACTATCTTTTGTCAAAATAAATGTCAAAAATACTAATCTTG